CAACAACAAACACCAAAAAAAAACACACCCAAAAAAAAAAAAAAAAAAAAAACCCAAACCAACCACAAAATTAAAAACGCATAACATTGCATCCCAAAAAGCTAACCCCATGCCAGACGCAGCATAACACCGAGCCAGACACGCATAACCTGTATGCTAACAGTATAACAATGTATGCTAGACAAGAAAACCCTGTTTGCCAGCACAGCATAAACTGGTTCGGGCCCCAGCATAACACTGCATGCCATACACGCATCCATGTATGCCAGACATAAATAGACTTGTACCAGATACAGCATAATACGTCCATCACGCAAAACACTATGCCAGACACAGCATAACACTGTAGCCAGACACAGCAAAAACATGTTTGCCGCCAGCATAACACTATGCCAGACAGAGCATAACACTGTATCCCCAACACAGATAACACTGTTACCTGACAAGCTTAACACGTAACCCAGCACAGCTTAAACTGTATCCCGGGACCGCATAACACTGTAACCAACACAGCATAACACTGTATACAAATGCATAAACACTGTAACCAGCACGCATAACACGTATACCAGACACGCATAACACTGTATCCAGACACAGCATAACATGTATACCAGACACAGCAAAACACTGTTACCAGACCGCAAAACTTATCCAGACACCAAACCTCTATCCAAAACACATAACACACTATACCAGACACAGAAAACACTCAAACCCAGACCAGCTAACATCTATCCCGGGAACAGCATAACCTGTTACCAGCACGCATAACATGTATACCAGACACATAAACCTGTATACTAACACAGTAACACTATTATCAGACACAAAAAACAGTAATACCGACACAGCATAACACTGTACCCAGACGCAGCATAACATGTATCCCAGCACAGAAATAACACTGTATACAGACGCAGCATAAACTATATACCAGACCACATAACATGTATACCAGAACAGATAACACGTCACCAACACGCATAACACTATATATCAAAACAGCATAACAGTATACCAGAAAGCATAACACTGTATACAAGACACAGCATAACACTGTCCCCGACACGCATAACACTATATACAAACAGCAAACCTGTATACCAGACCGCATAAACTGTTACCAGACGCAGCATAACACTGTATCCCAGACACGATAACCACTATCCAACACAGCTAACACTGACACCCGACACAGCAAACACTTTATCAAAAAGCATAACACTGTATACCAGACACAGCAAAACACTGTATCCCAGACACGCAAAACACTGATCCCCGACCGATAAAAACTATTATCAAAACACAGCATTAACATGTATACCAGACACAGCATAACACTGTATACCAGACACAGCATAACACTGTATACCAGACACAGCATAACACACTATACCAGACACAGCATAACACTGTACACCAGACACAGCATAACACTATATATCAAACAGCATAACACTGTATACCAGACACAGCATAACACTGTATACCAGACACAGCATAACACTGTATACCAGACACAGCATAACACTATATATCAAACACAGCATAACACTGTATACCAGACACAGCATAACACTGTATACCAGACACAGCATAACACTGTATACCAGACACATCATAACACTGTACACCAGACACAGCATAACACTATATATCAAACACAGCATAACACTGTATACCAGACACAGCATAACACTATATACCAGACACAGCATAACACTATATACCAGACACAGCATAACACTATATACCAGACGCAGCATAACACTATATACCAGACACAGCATAACACTATATACCAGACACAGCATAACACTATATACCAGACACAGCATAACACTATATGCCAGACGCAGCATAACACTATATACAAGACACAGCATAACACTATATACCAGACACAGCATAACACTATATACCAGACACAGCATAACACTATATACCAGACACAGCATAAACACTATATACCAGACACAGCATAACACTATATACCAGACACAGCATAAACACTATATACCAGACACGCATAACACTATATACCAGGACACCGCATAACACTATATACCAGACACAGCATAACACTATATACCAGACACAGCATAACACTATATACCAGACACAGCATAACACTATATACCAGACACAGCATAACACTATATACCAGACACAGCATAACACTATATACCAGACACAGCATAACACTATATACCAGACACAGCATATTAATGTCACTACCTACTCTTATTTCCTCACATAAGATGAAATTAAAATTCGTCTGGAATCTTCTCTGTTTTACCAGATGTCACACATTTACCTCCTGTGTGTGTGTGTGTGTGTGTGTGTGTGTGTGTGTGTGGTGTGTGTGTGTGTGTGTGTGTGTGTGTGTGTGTGTGTGTGAGTGAGTTATTCCATATAATTTTAACCAATGGTTGTCGAAATTTGCCATTTTTAAATATTCATATTTTGTCTCTGGACAGATCCTGGTCATAATATCGTCCTTAACAATCATTTTTTTTTTACATTCCGTCTATGGCACTCATTGTACATCAGTGCCATCACTGATCTTCAGTAATGACATTGTACATCAGTGTCATCACTGATCTTCAGTAATGACATTGTACATCAGTGTCATAATTGTACATCAATGACATCTTTGTACTTCAATAATAACATTGTACACAAACATCATTGTACATCAATAATGGCATCACTGTTCATTAGTATCATTGTACATCAATAATGGTATCCGTGTACATAAATAATGGCATCATCGTTCATCAATATCACTGTACATCAATTATATCATTGTACATCATTTATATAATTTTACATCAATAATGCCATCATTGTACTTCAATAATGGCATTATACATCAGTTCCATAATTAAGCATCAATGTTATCATTGTTCATCAATATCATTGTACATCAATAGTGGCATCATTACACATCAGAGTTATCACTGTTCTTCAATAATGGCATCATTGTTCATCAATAATGACATCATTATACATCAATAACATTGTGCATCAATAATGGCCTCACTGTACATCAATAATACCAATGTACATAAATAATAACAATGTACATCAATAATGACATCATTGTACATAAATAATGGCATTGTTCATCAATAACATTAATGTTCATCAATGACATCATTGTTCTTTAATAATGACATCACTGTACATCAATGGCATCATTGTACATCAATGTCATCACTGTACATCATCAATGTCATCACTGTACATCACCGCTGCTGCAGCTCAATATAGAAACACACATGTGATTGTATATTCTGGAAAATATTTAAATATTTTGAAAAGGTGATTGTATAGTCTGGAATATATCAATGTTTAATTTTAGAAGATAGGATTGTATATTTTGGAATATATCACTGTATATTTTGGAATATGTCACTGTATATTTTGAAATATATCACTGTATATTTTGATATTACTGTATATTTTGAAATATATCACTGTATATTTTGATATCACTGTATATTTTGAAATATATCACTGTATATTTTGATATTACTGTATATTTTGAAATATATCACTGTATATTTTGATATCACTGTATATTTTGAAATATATCACTGTATATTTTGAAATATATCACTGTATATTTTGAAATATATCACTGTATATTTTGGAATATGTAACTGAACATACACATTTTTTTTTTTTTGAAAAATAGAATTGATTGTATAATTTTTTTGAAGGCATAATTTCATATTTTTTTTCAAACCGGTGTATTTTAGAAATGATTTTCATATATGGACTATATTATCTAAATGGTTATATTATAAAATGGTTATGATCATATCCATAATTTTTAAAGGGCGGGTAAGCCAGCACAAGGTCTCGGCCAGATGACCATAAGCTCCAGTAAAAGTAAGGCCCGTGTCAGGAAACACTTGTCCTGTTTCCTGACAAATCTAACCTAACATGGGCATATATTTTTTACAATATATATATATATATATATTATATTATATATATATATATATATATATATATATATATATATATATATATATATATATATATATATGCGCAATGTTTTTGAAAATACAACTGTATATTGTATATTTCTCATAAAACGACTGTATATTTTTGAGAATACAACTGCTTTTTTTTTTTTAAATATGATCGGTAGTAACATTTTTTTTTTTCTTCAAACAGTAATATGCCTTGTATTTCTCAAATAAATCATCTGTATTTATCTAAGTTTTATGTGCTAAGCTTTTGTAATTTACAATAATAGCCATTTCATCACCCCCACTCTAGCCTTAAAAAAGAATACAAACTATTAAAGTTTGTTAATTATATGTACCGTTTTTGTTTTGTAAAATGCAGATCAAATCTGACCTACAATAGGAGAGAGAGAGAGAGAGAGAGAGAGAGAGAGAGAGAGAGAGAGAGAAGAGAGAGAGAGAGAGAGAGAGAGAGAGAGAGAGAGAGAGGAGAGAGAGAGAGAGAGAGAGAGAGAGAGAGAATTTTTCAGACTGAGATATATTAATAAAGCCTTTACTAGACTTTATTCTCTTGTTGTGTGTTTCCATAGCACTGTCAGCGTGTAACATCAACTCAGTTAACTGTGTTTTCAAGAATCAACTGACGATAATTTAGGATACTCGTTTTGCCCTTTCTGGAAGAAAAATAATTAATATTGGTTCCTACAATTTTTCCACAAGGGTTTAGGATACTCGTTTTACTCTTGTTGGGAGGAAAATAGTGAATGTTGCCTCTTACAAACAAAGCCAAGGCTTCAGGATGCTCGTTTTGCCCCTTTTAACCAGAAGGAAAATGCTAGTGTTGCCCTTCCTGGGAGGAAACATATAGTTTACTTGGTTTAAACGTGAATTGAATCCACTGCACAATGTGGGCACATTTTTTTTTTTTTTGAGGGGGGGGCACTCTGTATGCCTGGTGCCACTTTCTTGGCACTGTGAGCATGGCAGTGTTAGAAATTTCGAGAGTAAAGGGGGGTGAAAATGAAACCAAATTTCTATGAAAAGCTTTCATATATATATTATGCGTATGTTACACAATGTTAATTAAATAATACCATGATATACACATCGGTCTGTCCTAGAGGTACACTGATTTTTCCATTATACGCACATAGGAGAGTCCTATGCGTACATGGAAACTGTTTTTTACGTACATAGATTTGTCTATACGTACATAGCTGAAGGCGCATGCACTGTCGGCAAGTACACAGGGGCTAGTAGTAGCTCTGCTGAAATCACCGTGGGTTAATAACACACACACACTTGTGGGCGGGCGTGGGCGTCTCACCACCCACGACTACACATGTCTTTACTCAGGGGTGGGCGTGCATGGGCGCCCTACTCTCAAAATGTTCTCTTTGGTTTCACTAGACTGGTGGGAGGGAACCTGCCACCTGCAACCCACGAGAGCACTACCGCCCATGCCCGTCACCCACTGTTATTGGGCGGTGTGGGGCGCCTGGCTGGTCCTCAGAACGTATTGGCGGAACTTCAGTACTTGGCAGTGTCGTCATAGTACGTGGGGTACTTGTAGGAGGCGCGGAAACCTAGCTGACAGGAAGGGTTCGTCAGGAGCCGCTGGGATTCGAACATGTCCCGCACGTTCGGGAAGCCGCTGTCACCGCCGGCGCCGCCTGCTGTCGTCTCCAGAGGCTGCGTGTACCACGAGCTGTGGGATCGGGAATAAGCTGCCGCCGCCGCCGCCGCTTGCATGGTCATGCCGCCAACCACGGGGCTGCTGCCGTTCATGGCGGCGCTGCCGCACGCGGTCATGTCGTCAGCGGCAGGCGCCGGGAAGACTGACGGAGCCCTGGCGTCGGTGTACTGACAGTAACCCATGGTGTCGTAGTACATGTTAGAACGGTACTGCTGCTGCTGCTGAGCCTCCGTTAGCAGTGTTCCTGGGCTGGCCTCCCGTCCTACCACCTCCCGCGACCCCGGCACTAGGGAGTCCACGCTGAAGGAGGAACCTACCTCCAAATAAGACCCCTCGTGGCCTCCGCCGCTTGCTGAGGAGGTGGGCAGATTGTTGGAGGTCAGGTGTCCGTGGGCGTGTAAGGGCGGAGTGTGGTTGTGTAAGGGCGGCGTGTGGGTGTGGGCGTGCAAGGGTGGCGTGTGGGCAGCAGCCTTCACCTCAGGAAGGCAGGCTGCTGGGAGGTCTGGGGAGTCCTGAGGCTCTGTCTTGGGCTGACAGAGGGGCGAGATAGGGGTGCCGCCCCCCACCTGCACCCCCTCCCCTTCCTGCTGACCTGGTACCACAGACCGAGGCTGCGGGTGCTGCTGCTGCCCAGGTCCAGGCTGCTGCGGCTGTTGAGCTGCTTGTGGCTGCTGCTGCGGCTGCTGTGGAAGCCCCACAGCAGTGCCATCAGGCTGCTGCGGTCGCTGGTCCTCAGCGCCCGTAGGCGTGTGTTGCTGCTGCTGTTCTTGCTGCCTCTTGAGGACATCTTCCTTCTCGCGAGTGACGCTGGCATCCTTCTTCTTGAAGCGCTTCCGGCGGCGTAAGTAAGAGCCATTGTCGAACATATTGCGCGCCTCAGGGTCCAGTGTCCAGTACGATCCCTTCCCCGGTTTCTTGTCGTCTCTAGGAATCTTGACGAAGCACTCGTTAAGGCTCAGGTTATGCCTGATAGAGTTCTGCCAGCCCTGCTTGTTCTCCCGGTAGTAGGGAAACCTCTCCATGATGAACTGGTAGATGCCGTTGAGAGTGACACGTTGGTCTGGGTTGTTTTGGATGGCCATAGTGATGAGGGCAATGTATGAGTAGGGCGGCTTCACCATGTCCTTAGGAGGAGGGTGTTGCTGGGGGTTATAGCCGTAGGGGTGGTAACGCCCCATAGCACTGTAGCCGTCATAACAGTAGGCGTTAGGAGCCATGGTGGACATCTGCTGCAGCGCCGCCGGCGGGTAGGTGGCGGCGGCATGGCGGTAGTAGGACTGTTGGTCGCCAAAAAGGGTATGCATCTTCACGGGGTAAGCTGACCATTGATCACACATGGCTACACAGCATTCTGGGGCCTACCTCGTGCTGAGGTAGACTCGGAGATGTCCTCTTAGACACAGGTAGAGGCGGTGGCGGCCAGGACGGATGGAGGGCGGTGGCGAGGATGCCGTTGAGAACGGCGGTGCAGACAATGAAGACAGCGCCGCCACCCAGCACCGCCAGTCACCACCAACACATACAAGCACACACTTCTCGATTATTTTCACTGCACCACCAGCTACAGCACCACCAGCTATAGCACCACCAGCTATACACTAGTCGGCAGGCACTCACTACCACGACTCTTTATTGTCAAGTTAGCGGAAGTGTGCGGGCGGAGGTGGGCGGCAGGAAGCGGGTGGACGGGCGGACCGGCAGTCCTTACCACGGGCGTGGGCACCCGTGGGCGCCGTCTATCAGGTATAATCCCGTCTTTTCCGTCGACTTTGACTGTCTCAAGCCACTGGGGTCGCCAAGGTTCCGTATACAAATCAGAACACTCTTGTTATCTTTCTCGAGGGCAAAATTCTTGGCTCGTGGCTTGATTAAAATTGTGAAAACACATCGACAGTCTTTTTCTTATGATTCGGACAATGGTAAAGCAAACAGTGCTGTTGCTACTCCAAACACCGCGAGAATTAGTCGTGGCTACTAAGTCAACAAACGGCCGCCACCGCACCGCGTTACTCTCTGGTTCCGCTCCAAAGGCCGACTGAACTATCTTAAAGTCTAGGAAAATTTACTTTAAGCCAACAGTTTAATCCTTCGCCATGTTATATTTAGGCTCCGCCTACGAGCGTCTGGTCCAATCAGCGCGCAGCGCTGCCACCCTCCTACCTGTAATTGGCCGCCTATTGTTGGCGATGGCCAACTAGAACTCGGTTTTGCTGAGTTATGAGTGGAGGCTCCTCCCGTTGATACTACATGATTGGTAACTCAGGGGGAGCAAATTACTGGGTCCTGCCCCTCGCAATTTTCCCCCTTTAATCTGAGGGGACAATTCCCAAGTCTCAGAGGGTAATTTGGTGCCAACACTTCTAACCCCTCTGCCCGGGATGATAATCCAGCCTAAAGAGATTAGCTGGAGCTCAATAAAAGTTATCCAAACAGTGGCTGGGGGAGGAAGGGGCGGCAGGGGGAAGGAAGGGTAGGGGAGACTGAGAAAACACACCGGGCACCAAAACAGGTTTACACTGCGGTTTTAACAAATCCGGCGTAATAAACTCCACCGGGGCCAGATGGAAGGGGAGGAGGGCTAACGGAAGACCCTCACTATGATCACATCCAGTCTTGAACTAGTGGGCGTGCTGGGTGGGCTGTGGGCGGCCCACCGCCTCACTACACCTCCTGGAAATCTTGGCGAAAAGAAAGTTTTGGAATCCATCGGGAAACGCAAGAGCTCTTGAAAGAAAAAAAAAAAAAGAGGGGGAATCCGGTCGTTAAACTCCCGGATCGAAATAGCTGACAGGTCGATGGAGTCTTCAATGGACGGAAAGAGTCGGAGATATTCTGTCCAAAAAGTAGGCAGAGTAGCTCCGTAAATATAGTGTTCCAGCGGACGGCTATGATGGAGGACGCTCCGCCCATTCCAGCCAGCTCTTGCCCGACCCACAGCTCTCATGCCAGGTGACGCTCGCCGCGGATGCCGCGACTCCTGCCGCTTGCTTCCTGCCTCCCACCGCACGCCTCCTTCAACATCTCGCCAGCCTTGTCCCACCTTCAGTTTGCCTCCTGCCGCCTGCGATTTCCAGTCTGTCTCCTGCCATTTGCAGCTTAAGTCGCCTGCCGTCTGCATCTTCCGCCTGCCGCTTGTTTCCTGCTACCTGCAATCTGTCGCGTGCCATCTATCTCCACAGGTTTGTGGTCTCAGTAGTACATCTTGCATTGAATAATTATATATATATGATTAATTATTCTCATTCTGTATTTAGGAAAAAATTAGAGATGGGTTAAGATATCAACTTGACAAGGTTTGCACTTTTTGTTACTTCTCGGATAAAAGTTAATTGTTGAATGTCTTGATCTGCTGTGCATTAATAGGCGATAGTTCATGATGATACTACTCTTAAAATTTTAATTTTTATTTTTTTTTGATTATCGTTCGTCATCATTTTTTCTTGTGTTTTTTCTTTATATTATATATATAATATATATATATATATATATATATATATATATATATATATATTATATATATTATATATATTATAGTTATATAATGTAATAGAATAATATTATAATATTTTATATTATTATTTAAATATTAATATTTATAATATTTTTATTTATTTAAATATATATTTATATATTTAATATATATAATATTATATTTTTAATAATTATATATAAATTATTAACTTATAAAAACGTATATTTATATTATATATCAATAATATATATATTATATATTTAAATAATTTTTATAAATATATATCATATTTATTTATTTTTTAGAGTTCTGGCATATTGATTGAAAGTATGGTAACTTTGTACAACGTGTTTCGGTTCGAATCGTGTGGACTGAAGTTAATGTTTGTAAATATTTCGCTGGGTTGCGTTTTGTTATGATTAGTGTGTGTGTTGTTGTGTATAGTGTGTGTGTGTTGTGTTGTAAAGAGAAGATATAATATGATAGAGATGATAGAGAGAGATAGATGAATGAGATAGATGAAGAGATTGAGAAGAATGAGAGATGAGTATGAGAGAGAATGAGTAATAGAAAAGAAATAGATAGGTAGAGAAATATGAGATATGTAATATTTAGTCTGGTCATTGTGATGTTGGTGTGGTAGGTTTGAGGTTTGTCTGCGGTGGATGGTAATTAATACGAGTTTGGAGTAGTTGTGTTGTGATGGTGTATATTGTGTGGTGTGATTACTACTATGTTGAGGTTGCAGGGGTCGAGTCGAGCTATGGTGTGTGTGTGTGTGTGTGTGTGTGTGTGTGTGGTGGTGTGTGTGTGTATGTGTGTGAGAGGAGAGGAGAGAGAGAGACTAGTGAAGATGGTAGTCGGTAATTGTGAGTGCTGTGGTAGTGGTAGTGGTGATGGTGTTTGCTGCGGTGATGGTAATACCGAGGGTTGGTAGTAGTTGTGGTGATGAGAGCGGTGAATATTGACTAGTGGTGGATATAATTATTTTAGTAGTCGTAGTAACAGTGGTGGTAGTAAGGGTAATAAATAGTAGGGAGAGACGATGCAGTTGACGTATTTTAACCAGTTAAACCAGAACTTTTCACCTCCTGAAACGTAGGAATGAAAGATGCATTATAATTTGGACCCGGAAAATTATTGGTCCCCTTTCTCCACACCAAAACCATTCCTCATAAAATCTAGACTACGTGTGGCCAGCACCCACAACCTGGTTGGTCAGGTCGTTAACCAGGAGACCTGGGATTGGGAAAAATGATACACGAAATTATTCCACTGAACACGTAATCCGTAACAACCAAAAGCAGTGCTGTAGTAGCCTGTACCGCCGTCTAGCACCACTGAAGCCATCTTTGTTTGCCTGTAGCACCACTGCAGTAGCCTGTATCTGTCTGTAGCACCAATGTAGCAGCTGTATCTGCCTGTACCACCAGTGTAGCAGCTGTATCTGCCTGTAGCACCACTATAGCAGCCTGTAGCACCAACGTAGCAGCCCATATCTGCCTGCAGCACCAATGTAGCAGCTGTATCTGCCTGTAGCACCACTATAGCAGCCTGTAGCACCAACGTAGCAGCCCATATCTGCCTGTAGCACCAATGTAGCAGCTGTATCTGCCTGTAGCACCAGTGTAGCAGCTGTATCTGCCTGTAGCACCACTACAGCAGCATCATGGATACCAATGTAAACACCAGTGTATTTTATCATATTTTATTATATAATTGGTAGGGATCACTGTCGTATCAGTCAGCGTTACTGAGCCATCTCTCACTATCCTCCGCCCACCCTCTCAACCCACCGGCACGCCATGTTGCAACAGCCCACCCTCTCAACCCACCGGCACGCCATGTTGCAACAGCCCACCCTCTCAACCCACCGGCACGCCATGTTGCAACAGCCCACCCTCTCAACCCACCGGCACGCCATGTTGCAACAGCCCACCCTCTCAACCCACCGTCACGCCATGTTGCAACAGCCCACCCTCTCAACCCACCGGCACGCCATGTTGCAACAGCCCACCCTCTCAACCCACCGGCACGCCATGTTGCACGCCATGTTGCAACAACCTCTTGATGCGCTATGTTGCTCGTATATGAAGCACATAGCACACTAACTCTTTGTACAGGAGTACATAGCACACTAACCTGTTGTACGTTAGCTCATGCGAGGCGCTTAACTCACTACTCACTTGCGACTGACTGATGTGCTGTGTAGCGCTTCTTAATAACGTTGTTGCTGTGTGTTTAGCTGGGTAGCTGGGAGGGTTATGGTGACAGATGATCCAGGAGCAATGATGGATGTGCTAGTGATCCCTCACGTTCAGAGGATAACCTAACTAGCGGCACATAATAATAATAATAATAATAATAATAATAATAATAATAATCTTTATTTCTACAAGTACATGTACAAGGTATACAGTCCTAGCTGACATCAGTGACATACTACTATACAGAAAGTCCCTTGCTATGCAGAGCATTTCGGGTAAATTAGGTCAATTTTGCCCCCAGGATGCGACCCACACCAGTCGACAAATACCCAGGTACCTATTTTACTGCTAGGTGAACAGGGAAAGTAGGGGTCTTAAGGAAACGTGTCCTATTGTTTTCCAGCCGTACCGGGGATTCGAACCCCGGACATCAGTGTGTGAGCTGAGTGCGCTAGGGATCGAGTTAAGGTATATAGCTTGGAATGTAGCTAAAAATTACGCGATGCAAAACGAGCTTTCACGTTTTGCCCATTTCAGTTCCCCCTCATCTTGGCTTATAATTTTCATTCTCTGTACCAGTGAAAGCTTTCATTCTCTGCCCCAGTGAAAGCTTTCATTCTCTGCCCCAGTTAAAGCTTTCATTCTCTGCTTCAGTGAAAGCTTTCATTCTCTGCTTCAGTGAAAGCTTTCATTCTCTGCCCCAGTGAAAGCTTTCATTCTCTGCCCCAGTTAAAGCTTTCATTCTCTGCTTCAGTGAAAGCTTTCATTCTCTGCTTCAGTGAAAGCTTTCATTCTCTGCCCCAGTGAAAGCTTTCATTCTCTGCTTCAGTTAAAGCTTTCATTCTCTGCTCCAGTGAAAGTTTTCTCCGCCCCAGTGAAAGCTTTCGTTCTCTGCTTCAGTGAAAGCTTTCATTCACTGCCCCAGTGAAAGCTTTCATTCTCTGCCCCAGTGAAAGCTTTCATTCATCTGCCCCAGTGAAAGCTTTCATTATCTGCCCCAGTGAAAGCTTTCATTATCTGCCCCAGTGAAAGCTTTCATTCTCTGCCCCAGTGAAAGCTTTCATTCTCTGCCCCAGTGAAAGCTTTCCTTCTCTGCCTCAGTGAAAGCTTTCCTTCTCTGCCCCAGCGAAAGCTTTCATTCTCTGCCCCAGTGAAAGCTTACCTACGCTGTTGTCGACAGTACGACATTTAAAACCACCTTTGGTATATGCTTTAATATACCTGCAATGGGTTTCGAGAGTACTACTCCCCGAAGCCCGAACCTGGACCAGGCTTGCCTGGTGCTTGCCTGGTGACCTCCCTCTTGCTCCTCCTGTAAGCAAACTAAATGCATGAAGACACTTACGCTTACGACCACTTTTTTAAAAACTATATACCCG